CATTCTTACTTTACAGCATTTTTTCACACCTGCCTAAAACTTTTACACAGTACTGTATTTCATCTTGGCTCTGTATTACCGCAAAATACACCACTGCCTCTAGTCAGGGGATGGACTGGACTTTAAGGATGCCCATACTCACCCTGTCATGGTACCAGCTTTGGGTTTTTGTGGCATTTTGTAGAACTGCATTCTCCCCTGCAGTTCACCACATCCTGCTGAGACTGTGGCTCATGGCCTAGGTTTATCCCACTTAAATCACTGTTAATCTGCTTTTTTCAGGCTGTTCCATTTATGCCACTTGTGGATGCTGTCAGAATCCTCGCAACCAATTAACCACATTATTTGCCAGCTTGCTTGCTTTGATTCTGCCATTAAGAGAAATTGGGGGGGGGGAGGGGGTTGGAAGGATCTGGAAGGATGGATGGAAGAAATGACCATTAGAGGCAGATGGGCTGTTATCAAGGACTGAGGAATGCTCAAGTATCCACTTTTTGTAAATAAAATAGATACAGGTAGTCTTCAGGTTATGCCAGCAATTGGGACCAGAATTGGCACGGCTAAGCAATGTGGTCATAAAGCAAAGCGTCATGTGACTATATTGCTTAGCGACAGGAAATCCAGCAGTCCCAGTTGCCATTGTAACCACAAGACTGCACAAGTTGTTAAGTGGGAAGAGGCAGGAGTCCCAGACAAGCAGGCCGGTGGGTGTGTGTGCAGGTGCTGAAGTGGGGTGTTGTGGGCAGGTGCTACAGAGTGTGGGCGGGTGTACTGTGGGGGTGGGGGATGCCATGGGCCAGGGGCACAGAGGGCGGGTGGGTGTGTAAGTGCTGTGGACAGTTGCTATGGGGCGTGGGCAGGTGCGTGGATGGTGCAGGGGTGATGCTGCAGGCAGGTGCTACGGAGCATGGGCAGGCAAAAAAGCAATAGGAGTGACTTCTGACTTCCTGCAGCTTCTCCATTCTCTTTGCTTTGGGAAGTTGGCAGGGAACGTTGGAAATCACAATCATGTGACTGCAGCTTGCTGTGCTGTTTTAATCACAAGCTGGGCACCCGAGTGCCTAGATTGCGATCATCTGACTGTGGGGATGCTGCAATGGCTGGAACTCCAAGGACTGGTCTTAAGTCCCCCTTGTTCAACACCGTTGTAACTTGAATTGTTGCTGAACAAGTGGTCATAACCCGAGGACTACCTGTAAAATAGCATTCTAATTTTGGGGTATTTTTGAGAGGCTTTAAGAAAAACAAGATATATTGTGTCTACTGTATGCCTTTAGTTTATTAAGAAAGCTACCCAGTCGAAAAATGAAATCAGGCTCTTCTGGTGAACTTGGTGCTGTCTGATTTTGGCTACATTTTAAAACTTTGTAAGCTAACATTTAATCAAACTACCGGAGGGCCTTTTCACTTGCCTGATGTCATGTACTCCCTTCACCTGTGCTGGACGGTAAATATAAGGGAGTCCCATTGGTTAAAAGGCTGTGTCCATGTGGTTC